TGGCAAACACATGTGCAAGTACGGATGCACTTAATTGGAATTTTGATAAAAAATTTTATGTCTAAGTGATGGGGCAAATAGTCAGGCATATTTAACTTAATCCTTGTTGCATAAAAAAAAAAAAGAATCAAAAAGTCAACAAAAAACCTTAATCAATAATATATTATTTTTTTCTTCTAAAAGAAAAATAATTACACAATTACCATTAATGGTTTAGTGTATAAAAATTTGATATAAAACATGAGAACGTGTGAAAAGTTATTTCACGAGTTGTTGCCATTGAAGAATAATTTTTAGATATAGAATATGTTAGATGTTAATCGATATGCAAGTTCTTTAATAAGCTAGTTAACTTATAAAGGAAACACCAGTAATACATTAGATTCTTCATTTTGTTGTGGTAGTGCTTTAATTACAAATACAATTCCTAATTTATTATATTTATAAACTTTATCTAGATTTTTTTATGAAATTATGATTTTATTCATATTCCTTCTGAAACTAATTTTTTAGTATTAAAATGGGTTTTAAAAATTAATAATTGAGCATATAGAAAAAATTGATTTTTTAATATTTAATTAAAAAAAAAATCATTTTATTAACAAAAAGAAAAGAGATAATAACGTGTTGGCCTTCCTTTAAGAAGCAAAATAACAATTTATAGAAGGGGAATAAACCACTTCTTCACAAGATACATGAATAAAAAGTCGAATCATGCACTTTTAAGCTTTGAAATGGCACCTCTGTTAAATTTAAATTTGCATACAAAATTTTAAAATAGTTTTTTTATTAGATAATTTTGTGTATAATTTGAATATTATTAAACATTTCTGGCAGAAAATTTATTAGTGGATATAAAATAATTAAAATTATTTATTGTATTAAAATATCTCAAGTTAGCATATTAAAATACTACGGGTGTAATATAGTACTAAAAGTTATTGTATGCATATATCCCTAAAAAATATAGAATTGAAAACTTCAATAATAATATATAAAAAGATTCTAATATTATTAGTGTTGAGTATTTAATAACAAAAATTGTTTAACCTTGTTTTGTTCTTAAACTTGAAGGGGCTATTGAGTGTGAAGATTACGGAAGCAATTAAGGCATTTTTTTTTTTGTTCCTTTCTATCTAGATGAGTTGTCCAAATTAAGTTATACGCAACCAATTAATGAATAAATTTTACATCATAAAAAATATTAATAAAACATTTTAACTTGGAAATAAAAATAA